CGTTCACCGCGGCCGAGCCGTTCACCGCGGCCGAGCCTGCTGTTGCCTCGCCGGCAACCGAGCCAGTGGAGTCCGAGGGCGGCTTCTTCGACAACTACGCGACCGAGCCTGCTGCCGAGCCGTTCGCTGCGACCGAGCCTGCTGTTGCCTCGCCGGCAACCGAGCCAGTGGAGTCCGAGGGCGGCTTCTTTGACAACTACGCGGCCGAGCCTGCTGTCGAGCCGTTCACCGCGGCCGAGCCGTTCACCGCGGCCGAGCCTGCTGTTGCCTCGCCGGCAACCGAGCCAGTGGAGTCCGAGGGCGGCTTCTTCGACAACTACGCGGCCGAGCCTGCTGTCGAGCCGTTCACCGCGGCCGAGCCGTTCACCGCGGCCGAGCCTGCTGTTGCCTCGCCGGCAACCGAGCCAGTGGAGTCCGAGGGCGGCTTCTTTGACAACTACGCGACCGAGCCTGCTGCCGAGCCGTTCGCTGCGACCGAGCCTGCTGTTGCCTCGCCGGCAACCGAGCCAGTGGAGTCCGAGGGCGGCTTCTTTGACAACTACGCGGCCGAGCCTGCTGTCGAGCCGTTCACCGCGGCCGAGCCGTTCACCGCGGCCGAGCCTGCTGTTGCCTCACCGGCAACCGAGCCAGTGGAGTCCGAGGGCGGCTTCTTCGACAACTACGCGGCCGAGCCTGCTGCCGACCCGTTCGCTGCGACCGAGCCTGCTGTGCCTCGCCGGCACCGAGCCAGTGGAGTCCGAGGGCGGCTTCTTTGACAGCTACACGGCGGAGCCTGCCGTCGAGCCGTTTACCGCGGCCGAGCCTGCTGTTGCCTCACCGGCAACCGAGCCAGTGGAGTCCGAGGGCGGCTTCTTCGACAACTACGTGGCCGAGCCTGCTGCCGACCCGTTCGCTGCGACCGAGCCTGCTGTTGCCTCGCCGGCAACCGAGCCAGTGGAGTCCGAGGGCGGCTTCTTCGACAACTACGCGGACGAGCCTGCTGTCGAGCCGTTCACCGCGGCCGAGCCGTTCACCGCGGCCGAGCCTACTGTTGCCTCGCCGGCAACCGAGCCAGTGGAGTCCGAGGGCGGCTTCTTCGACAACTATGCGGACGAGCCTGCTGTCGAGCCGTTCACCGCGGCCGAGCCGTTCACCGCGGCCGAGCCTGCTGTTGCCTCACCGGCAACCGAGCCAGTGGAGTCCGAGGGCGGCTTCTTCGACAACTACGTGGCCGAGCCTGCTGCCGACCCGTTCACTGCGACCGAGCCTGCTGTTGCCTCGCCGGCAACCGAGCCAGTGGAGTCCGAGGGCGGCTTCTTCGACAACTATGCGGACGAGCCTGCTGTCGAGCCGTTCACCGCGGCCGAGCCGTTCACCGCGGCCGAGCCTACTGTTGCCTCGCCGGCAACCGAGCCAGTGGAGTCCGAGGGCGGCTTCTTTGACAACTACGCGGACGAGCCCATTACCAATTCGGGTTCAGCAGCCATGGACTCGGTTGCAGATGCGCCGGGCACCGATGTCTTTGTAGAGACCAATATTGCCGCGTCACCATCCCCCGACGCCACCTACACATGTGCTGTCGGCGAGGTGCCTTACGAGGCAGAACCCAAGACTGAGGCTCCCACCGCTGTGCATGTCGCCGACGAGCACTCTGCTTACGATGGCGAGCCCTACGACAACTACGGAGGTGAAGGCCAAGCCGTGGGCTCGAGCGAGGTAGGATCCGCTGCTGCCACCCAGACAACTGGCGATACCGATGAGCAGGCTGCGTACAACGGCGAATACTACAACTACGGCGATGGCGCGGTCACCAACGGCGAGTACTACAGCTACGGTGCGGCTCAGCCGGAGGGCGAAGCCGCCACGGCCACGGACACACTCGCCACCCCGGCTGCCGAGGAGCAAGCCGCGTATGTCGGCGAGGTTTACAACACCTACGACGACGAGTCTACCAGCGAGTCTCTCTCTACGGCACCGACTGAGGTCATTGCTGTGGTTGCTGACGACGTTGATCCATTCGCCGACGAGCCGCTCTCTATCCCGGCCGAATCACCTCTTTCCTCTGCCACCCAACAAGTGACGCCTATTGCGACTCCTGCCGCCCAGTCTGACTTTTATGCCGAGGTGGCCGGCACCACCAATGAGGTCTTTGATGAGAGTGTCGCTCAGGGCGAACACTATGATGACGAAGTCAACTACGACTACCAATCCCAAGCCGGTGGCTCGTATGCTGGCGGCTCACAGGCTGGCGGCTCTCAAGCCGGTGGCTCACAAGCCGGCGACTACTACGGCGCGGCCACCAACTTTTACGGTGAGGACAACTCCTCTTCCCATCCCGAGTCCGAGAACTACTACGGCCAGGAGCAGTACCAGGCTGACGTCTATTATGGTCAAGCAACCGGCCACGACCAAGCCCAGGCCGACGACTACTACGAGCAAGCAGCCGGGTACGACCAAGCCCAGGCCGACGACTACTACGAGCAAGCAGCCGGGTACGACCAAGCCCAGGCCGACGACTACTACGGTCAAACAGCCGGGTACGACCAAGCCCAGACCGACGACTACTACGGGCAAGCAGCCGGGTACGACCAAGCCCAGGCCGACGACTACTACGGGCAAACAGCCGGGTACGACCAACCCCAGGCCGACGACTACTACAGTCAAGCAACTGGCCACGACCAAACCCAGGCCGACGACTACTACAGTCAAGCAACTGGCCACGACCAAACCCAGGCCGACGACTACTACGGGCAAGCAGCCGGCCACGACCAAACCCAGGCCGACGACCGCCAGTCGACAGACACCTACGGCCACACCGCTGCAGCTGCAGACTCCGGCTACGGTTATGCACCGGCACCCTCTGGCCCGGCCGAGGCATTTGCCCAGTCACGCCTGCGCTGCAACCGCGCGGCTGTTGTCTCGTTTGGCTTTGGCGGGCAGATTGTGACATGCTTCAACGGCTCGTTTTCCGCTTCCACGCCGCGTGTCATCACACGCCGCCTGCACCAGGCCTGCGCGACGCTGCCGCACGTTCAGACTCTTGAGTCGTTCCCGGGGCCGCTCACTGTCTCCTCGCGTCAGGACGCTGTTCATCTCGCCCGCTCTCGCGCCGCTGCACCAATCGACCACTCGCTCGGCGATGTGCACGACCCGGACGGGCTACGCGTCCTCTACGAGATTTTGGCCCTTTCTCTCGAAAAGGATCCGACTCTGGGCCCCAAGGTTGCCGCCGAGGTGAGCGACATTCTGACCTCGTCACCGCACGACGGCCTCGTCTCGCGCCCTTCGTCCGAGCTCCTCCCCGATGCTATTGCTGCGCCTGACGCTGCCGCCGCCACCAGCACCCTTGGCCACATCGAGACGTTGCTCATGGCCGGCAAGCGCAAGGAGGCTGCCGAGGCTGCCACAGCCGCTGGTCTCTTTGCCCACGCTGTCGTCATTGCTGCCCACACCGACAAGACCGTCTTTGCTGACACCGTCGCCGCGCTCGCTACCGCGTCGTTTGCACACGCCTCGCCCATGCGCTCGCTCTACCTCCTGTTCTCCGGTAAGAGCTCCGGCTTGTTTGCCGCACCATCAAGCGGCGTGTCGCCGGACACCCACCCGGTCCTCGCCTCGTGGAAGGCCAACCTAGCAATGATCCTCGCCAACGGTGCGGGTGCCAAGCCAAATCGCGCAGCCATGTTTGACCTTGGCAACGAGCTCGGCCGCCTCAGGCGCTACACCCCTTCGCAGCACGTGTGCTACCTCCTCGCCGGCGCACCCATCGGCCCGCTCAACACCGCCGCCCGCATGGTCCTACTTGGGGCCGACCACGACGGCACCGGCGCTCGCTTCGCTACGCCCGAGGCCATCCAGCGGACCGAAATGTTCGAGCTCGCCCACAAGGTGGCCAACTCGCAGTTTACCCTGCCGTCGCTTGTTGCCTACAAGCTCGTCTACGCTTTCCAGCTTGCTGAAGTTGGATTCACCGACCGCGCACTCGCCTACTGCAAGGCTCTCGACGCCATCGTCGCCGCTCGCGGCGCAAAGTATTTTGCCGCTGCATTCCTCAGCCAGCTCAAGGCTCTGCACCACCGCCTCCAAGAGCACATGGACCTTTCCGCCGGCTCTTCGTCGCGCGTTGTTGCTGCCGTCAAGGGGGTCTTCTCCGGCATGTTCTCTTGGGGCGGCTCGCGCTCGCCGCCCAAGACTGCGTCGGGCTCGGCATCGGCGCCGCCGACCGCCCCGTCGTCGCCGCCTCTCACTGCCCGCGGCGCACGGCGCGCTTCGACGGACGGGCCCTCTCCACTGTCGTCGCCCTCGGGCCGAGCTGCATCCACGCCCGCCGTCGACGACGACGCCGAGGAAGAGGCCCGCCTCCTTGCCCGCGCCCAGAAGCTGCGCAAGGAGCAGGAGGCCAAGAAAAAAGCTGAGTCTAGCTCGTCGTCCAGTGGCGGCGGCCTGCTCTCCTCGCTCTGGCCCTTTAAGAGCTCCAAGAAGCAAGCCAAGCTCGGCGGCGAGCTCAAGATCTTCCGTGATCCCAAGACAGGAAAATGGATCAACCCCGACAATCCCAACGCCGGCAAGGCCGCCGCCCTCCCTCCGCCTCCAAAGTCAAAGCCGAAGGCACCCGCACCCAGCATGCCGCCGACCGGAGCCACCCCCGCTCCGGCCTCGGCTGGTGTCCCGCTTGGCGCGGGCCCACCGCGTGGCCCGCCGCGCGCGCCGCGCAACGTCCACTCGACTTCGTCCCGTTATGTCAACGCCTTTGCGAAGCCGGGTGCCGCCGCCGCCCCGCCACCACGCAAGTCGATCCCAGGCCTTGCGCTCCGCCGCCCGCCGGCACCGACCGCTGGCCCCGGCGCCCCGCATGTCTTCAAGCCCATGATGGTCCCGGCCCCCGCGGCAAGCGACTCCAACTCGTCGTTCCTCGACGACGAGCGCTTTGTCCCCCCGCCGGCCCCGACCGCCGCTCCGTTTCAGCCTACCGAGGGCGAGGTCGCCCCGCCCTCCCGCCCGCCGCCGCGCTCCGCCCCGGCCCCGGCACCCGAGGCCTCGCCCTTTATCTGAGTAGTTTCTCGCACCCGCTCGCAGCATGCAATGAACCAACACCCGACACCCACTTGCCAGTCACCACAGCCTTTCTCCCCTGGCCACCACAGAGCCACCACTGTGGCTGGTCAACATCGCGTCGTCGACGCCGTCGCAAATCGTGTGCCAAACTCAGGCGGCCACGATCGGCCAGGACTCGCGCCGCCGCAAACGGGCACGCGTCTCGCCATGAACGGCATGCGCGGCTCGTCGAGGCCAGCCCAGACACCATTCACCCCCCTGGGCACCGGCACCCCTGTCCACTACCGTAAGACCCTCTGGGGCCAGACCCGCGCCATGGTACGCCCTCCCTCCCCTCCTTCCCTCCCTCCCCCTCCCCCGCACCGCCGCCTGCTCACCACCACCCTACCCCGTGCAGTTCCTTCGAGAGGTCCATCAGCAGAAGAGACAACGCAAGACCATTGCCCTCCACCTGGGCTTCCCGCTTGTAGTGGCACTCGGCCTCATCGTGGTCCACATCGTCCTGCTCGCCTCGCTCGATGCCAATGAGTGCACCCCCTCGCCGTCGCCTGTTCCCTTCCCGGCGCCAGGCTCGGTGGCATGTGCATGGGCGCCGGACGAGACAAACTGCTCGGCGGCGTGGGAGTTTATGGTTTGGACCGATGCCTTTGGCGGGCGTCAGGCGACAGAGGCCACTACGTTGATGACCCGTGACATTGCCCGTTTTCCCTATGCAGGCACCAACCTCTCCGGCGTGGTGGTCGATGGCGTCCCACTTGGTGATGGCTACTCGCCGCATCTGGTCCATTACGACTCGTTTGACTCGGCCGTCACCTACATCCATACTCTCAGCTCGCGCTACTTTGTCACGTCCGAGGCCGGCACCTCAGATCCGCTCCTCGAGTACACTGTGCCCACCAGCGCCCTCTACTTTTCGGCCCTCTCGGAGATGTACGGCACTGCCTTTGTCTTGCAGTCGCCTGACCTCGCCGCCAACGGGCTGTACTATCCGGAACGGTTCAAGCTGCTCTATGCTCGGCATCGCGCCATGAATCAGGTGTCCAATGCATTGCTCTCGTACCTGACGCCGGTACCGCCACCTCCGCCATCGCCGCCACCGGCGCCGCCTACCAACGCCACGTCTCCGCCGTCGCCGCCGCCGCCGCCGGCACCTGTCCTTCCACCTCCACCACCTCCGCCGCCGGTAGCGTATGCCGGGCTGAAGGGCGTGGACGAATTTCCACAGGTTTGCTATCCGGGATCGGGCGCAAACATTGTGTCAGCCATCATCTTCCTGTTTGTACTCCCGTTCTCGGCGTCGTTCCTCATGCCGGTGGTGCTGCAGGGCATGGTTCGCGAGAAGCAGGACAAGCACATCGAAGTGCAGAAGATGGCTGGCCTACGGATGTCGGTCTTCTGGCTAGTCAACTACTCGTTCGACCTCTTTATGTATTGCACCATCGTAGCGTTGATGCTCGCGATTCTGGCTGCAGGCCAGCTGGAAGTGCTTATTATGACTAACGCGCTTGTGACCATTGTGGTCTTCTTTGTTTGGGGCCATGCTCTCGTCTGTCTCACATACTTTTTCTCAGTCTTTTTCTCGTCGGCCCTCTCTGCGGCCATCTTTGGCTACGTGGTCCAGCTGTTGTCGATGGGCATTGCGGCTACGCTCAACGTCACGGTCTACTCGGACGTCAAGATCCAACCAACGGTCCTTTACTCGGTCTATCCGCCGTTTGCCTTTTTCCGCGCCATCTATCTCATTGTGGTCTCGTTTGCACTTGATTCCCCGCTTTCGATCACGGCGCTTGCTTGGGGAACGCCACTCTCGCGCGAAATCATGTTCATGGTTGTGGTGTCACTCGTTCTTCTGGTTCTCACGGTCTACCTGGAGGCGGTGCTGCCGAAAAAGTATGGCGTCCCAGCCTCACCGTTTTTCCCCATCATCGCCGCCTACGACTGGCTCTGCAAGTGCTGGCACACTCCGAGCCTGACCGGCATTCGTCTGCATCACGGTTGGGCGCATACTGCCCTCTTCACTACCGATTCGAGCGAGAACATACCGCCGACGCTCAACGGGCCGAGCATGCTCGAAACGGTGAGCGGCGGAAGAAGCCAGACATCGCCGTCGCCGTGGGTCCTTGTCGATCCGACCGAGGCTGACGACGTGGCCGCGGAGCGGCAGACGGTGTACCAAGTCAGCGACGCCGAGGCACTCTCGCGCTCGGCTAATGTGGTTATTCGCGATCTCGACAAGCGTTACATCGGGCTCGACGGCTCGAAGCGGCGGGTGCTCCGCTCGCTCTGCCTCAAGGTTGGCGACGGCGAGTGCTTGGCGCTGCTTGGGCCCAACGGGTCAGGCAAGTCGACACTGGTCAACATCCTGTGTGGGCTGGTGCGGCCGTCTGGCGGTGATGCGCTCGTGGGTGGCCTCTCGATCCGGACTCAGATGGCACGGATCCATCCGATGATTGGCGTCTGTCCACAGGCCGACGTGCTGTGGCCGGACCTCTCCGTCCGTGACCACCTGCTGTACTTTGCACGGCTGAAGGGCATTCCGCGGACGCAGGAGCGCGGACATGTGGACGACATTCTGCAGCAAATGGGGCTCAAGACGTGTGAGCTCAAGTGGGCATCTGTCATTTCGGCCGGCATGCGGCGGCGTCTCTCTATTGCGATTGCCCTCATCGGCTCGCCGCGGCTGCTGGTGCTCGACGAGCCGACGACCGGGCTGGACGTCATGGCGCGGCGGATGATCTGGGACATTCTACTGCGGGCGCGCGAGGGGCGGTCGATCCTGCTCACCACGCACTCGATGGAGGAGGCGCGGGTGCTCGCGTCGCGGATTGCCATTGTCATCTCGGGTTCGCTGCGGTGCATTGGGACGCACGAGGAGCTCAAAGCACGGTTCGGGTCCGAGTACCGGCTGGAGGTGGCGCTTGCGGGGGGCCACCAGCACGTGGCGCGGATGCAAGCGTTTATCGAGAGCGTGGCGCCGTCTGCGCGGATGTGGTCTTCGTTTGGCTCGCACTACACCTGGCTGGTACCCAAGGACGAGATGGTGCTCTCACGGGTGTTTATGGCAATGGAGCGGCATGCGTCTCAGGCCGGCATCAAGGACTGGTCGCTGGCGCTTGCATCGCTGGAAGAGGTATTTTTCTCGATTGTGCGCGAGACGCTGCGGGAGCAGGGCGCCGTGTAGTTGCGCTAGCGCGTGTACTTTACTCTTTGCGGAGGCGGCGCAGCTTGCGCGGGCGGCCAAACTCGGGCTCACCGGGCTCGCCAGATTGTGCCTGTGCCGGCGGAGCAGTATCCATGGGCGCGGGCGCAGGGCGCGACGGCGACGAACTTGGGTCGACCGAGCCCGCTGACGTCGCTGCCGACGATGTGGAGCGCGGGCGCGGGCGCGGACGCGAGCGTGGGCGCGGGCGGGCGGACGGGAAGCGCGACGGGGTCTCGGAGGAGCGGGCGGACGCAGCCGAGGCGCGTGAGCCTGCGCCTGTGGACGAGGTGCGCGGGCGGAACTTGCGCTGGGCGCGCGCTGTGGAGAGGCCGCCTGTTGGCGGGACGGACGACGCCTCTGATGAGGCGCGGGCCGGAGTAGTGGACGAGCGGGTTGCCTCGCGGGTGGAGGAGCGGCGGGCGGAGAGCTCGGGCTCTGTGAGCATGGCGTAGTGGTCCATGGTGGCGATAAAGAAGGAGCGGATAGAGTTGATCTCCATGGCGGCGAGGTTGTTGAGCTTGATGGCTGGCGAGTCGCCGTCGAGGGCGCGCATTCCGGCCATGATCTTGAGGTGACGGACCTCGACGATGTCCTCGATGGTCTCGCGGACCGAGTTTGCATCCGGAATGTCATCCGAGGCAACATCAAGCAACTGTGAGGCGATTTCGACGTAGTGGTACGGCAGGGCCTCAAAGTACAGCGGATCGGCCTGCTCGGCCTCGTAGGTTGCCCGCAGTGAGTCGACATCCATCCACTCGGGCGGCTGTATCTTGGCCTTCTTCTGCTTCTTCAGCTGCTTGGCCAGCCAGAGCGGGACGGTGAGCGGAACGCCCGGACGGAACGGGCCGTATGTGCCTGCCAGCAAGCGGATGGCCGGCTCGCGGAAGAGCGGGACCACCACGGCCTCAGCGTCCTCCGACAGGAACTCGACTTCAGACGCGCCGAAGCTCTCCAGCACCGACGCCTGCTTGACGATGGGCTGAGTCATGATGTGTGTGTGTGTGTGTGTGTGTGTGTTTGTGTGATATGATGTGTATGTGTGGTGTGTGTGTGTGTGTGTGTGTGTGTGTGGTGGAAGAGAGAGTGTGTGGGACGGGTGGTGTGGCGTGGTTCAGTGTTGGTTGTGGCGGGAAGATTCTACGACGGGCTGTGTTTGAGTGGGTGTTGGCCGGGAGGGCGGGGGGCGGGTGAGGCGGGCAGGGCGAGGGGGGGGAGGGGGGGAATCGGGGAGAGTGATTGCATGGATGGATCGGGCGGTGTCAAGAGCCGGCGTTGTTGACCGATGCGTCAGCAGGCGAGGGGAGCAAGGGTGTGCGCTCCGAATCGACATTGCCCTCGGGGATGGTAGAGGCAGGAGTGGAGGAAGGAGGCTGAGCAGGAGCGCGATCGGCCAGGGCGGCGGCGGCGGCGGCGGCGCGGACATCGCGCTGGAGCGAGACAAAGGTGACGAGGAAGAGGAGGGCCGAGGCTGCGTAGGCGCAGGGATAGAGGATGAAGAGGGCTGTGCGGAGTGAGTGAAAATGCGATTGGAGGACCGGGACGAGGAGTGGGGCGAGGCCTGCGATGTTGGAGATGATGAAAAAGTAGATCGAGGTGGCGACGATGCGCATGTGGCCAGGAATGAGGTCGGAGACGACGGCGAGGGTGATGCCGACCCAGGCCTCACCGATGACGTTTGCGGGGATGAGCGAGATAAAGGCCCACGGCGGATTGAGGAGGAGGGCGCCTGCGGCAAGGGGGCTGCGAGGATTTGGGAGAAGACAAGGACCCAGATGCGGGCAGCCATGCCGCGCTTCTTGATGATGCGGTCTGCGATGATGCCGCCGAGGAGGGCGCCGAGCGAGCCGCCCACGAGTGGGATGACCGACATGTACTTGGCGATGTCGACCTTGGAGAGGCCGTGGACGTTCTCAAAGAAGATCTCTGTGTTAAAGGCCCAGACGTAGCCGGCCGAGTTGCGGATGGCACCTGCGAGGCAGAGGAGGAGCAGTGAGGGGCGAGCAAAGAAGGTGAGGACGGTCCAGAGCGACGGCTTGGCCGGCGGCTTGCCCTCGGAGAGGGCGATAGTCTTGTCGTCGTGGACGCCGCGCGGGGCTCACGGACAGTGGCGTAGATGGCGGCGGCGATGGGGACGCCCGCGAGACCAAAGGCATAGTACACCCAGCGGTAGCCATAGCGTGCCGAGATGGGCCCTGCGGCGCCAAAGGAGAGCGAGTAGCCAGTGTAGATGCCCCACTGGTAGATGCCGAGGGCGGTGCCGCGGGTGGAGGGCGCAAAGTACTCGGCGATGAGGCCGTTGGCGATGGGATTGCACCCAGCCTGGCCCATGCCCTGCCCCGCGCGGGCGAGGACGAGCTGCCAGTAGGTGTCGGCGGCGCCCATGGCGGCCGTCGCCGCCGACCAAACCAGGATGGCGGCGACAAAGATGCGGACACGGTTGAAGCGATCGGCGATGTAGCCGACCGGGAGGCCCGCAAGAGTGTAGACGAGGGTGAAGACTGGGCCGGCGAGGATCTGGTAGCGGAAGCCCGTGCCGTTGCCGCCGAGCGGAACCATCTCCTTGGAAGTGATGGCGAGGGTGTACCGGTCGAGCTGGTTGAGCAGGTACGCCGTCACGAGCAGGGCGAGGACCCAGAGGGGGTACGGGCCCTCTGCGAAGAAGTCGCGGATGGACGCCATGGTTGGGTGAGGTGGGGGAGGGGGGGGGGAGGGGGAGGGGAGAGGTGGCTCTCTTGCTGGCTGCAAGGCCTGCACAACCCGCGTGACCTGGTGGCTGGCTTTGGGGCTGGGGCTGCGGCCTCGGTCAGTGTGAGGACTCTGCATCACACGCTGTGTCTAGTCACAGGGTTTACACTCTAGCCTACTCGTAGCGCTCGATGACGTTTCCGGAGCCGAGGCCGCCGGCGGCGCAGGCGGCGGTGAGGGCGTACTTGGTGTCGGCGTCCTGGAGGCGCTTGGCAGCGTGGTAAGTGAGGCGGGTCGAGGTAGCGGCGAACGGGTGCCCGATGGAGAGCGAGCCGCCCCAGTTGTTGAGCTTGTCCATGTCGATGGAGCCAAAGGCGGCGTCAAGGCCGAGCTTGTTCTTGCAGAACCACTCGGATTCGAGGGCAGCAATGTTGGCGAGGAGCTGGCCGGCAAAGGCCTCGTGGTACTCAAAGACGGAGATGTCGTCGAGGGTGAGGCCGGCCTTGGCGAGGACCTTGGGCGTGACGTAGGCCGGGCCGAGGAGGAGCTCATCCTTGGGGTCCTGGGCCACGTACTCGTACTCGCGGATGTAGGCGAGCGGCTTGTAGCCGAGCTCCAGAGCTTTGTCCTCGGACATGATGAGGCCGGCCGAGGCGCCGTCGGTGAGGAACGAGGCGTTGCCCGCCGTCACGGTGCCGTGCGGCTTGACAAAGGCCGGGTTGAGCGATGCGAGCTTCTCGCGCGGTGTGATGCGAACGCCGTTGTCAGCGACGACGGGCTCCTTCTTGCCTGGCACGTACACCGGGACAATGTCCGACAGCTTGCCGGCCTTTCCGGCCTCGAGCGCGTTCATGTGCGAGCGGAGCGCAAAGTCGTCCTGCGCCTCGCGCGAGATGTCAAAGGCCGCGGCGAGGCGGTCTGCCGAGTGGCCCATGACCTCGTTGGTCGAGAACTCGGCGACGGCCGGGAGCTCCGGCGCGAGCATGCTCGGGCGGAACCGCTTGAGCAGGTTGATCCAGCCCTGCGGCGAGCGGACCTTCTGCGCGTCGAGCATGAGCCGGCGGAGCGGGCGCGAGAACCGGATCGGCACGTCCGACATGACCTCGGTACCGCCAAAGATCATCGAGTCAATCTGGCCCGACGCAATCATGGATGCGCCCGTCGTCAGCGCCTGGTTCGACGAGATGCACGCCATGGTCACCGTGTGGGCCGGGACCGAGTCCGGGATCCCGGCGCCGAGCGCAGCCTCACGCGCCACATTCGACGTCTTCACCTCCTGCAGCACGTTGCCGGCAATCACATAGTCGAGATGCTCCGTGTCGAGTTGCGTCTTGGCGAGGAGGCCCTTGAAGGCCTTGCGCAGCAGGTCGTGCGACCAGAGCGGCTTAAAGTCGGTCCCGGCCATGACAAACGGCGTCCGCGCGGCGTCCACGAGCACCACGTTGCGTCCCTTGGCAGCCTGGATCTCCTTCTTGCGGTCAACCTTGACTGCCGGCCCGGCCCGGGCAGCCGCCGCCGTCGACAGGGACGCAGCGAGGGCAGAGGAGGCGGTGCGGCCGAGGGCCGGCGCCACAGCGAGGCGAGGAAGGGTGAACTGCGGGAGGGGGGAAAGTTGGGAGAGGGTGTATGGGTGAGTGTGGCATGGTGTGGCATGGTGGGTTTGCATGTGTGTTGCGAATGGGCATGGCTGTGGGTGTGCGGGGTGGGGGTGGGGGGTGGGGGGGTGGTGGCTTGGCTCTCGTCGCATGTAGCGTACCATTGCTGGGTCGCAGTGAGTGGGGTGGCCGAACAGACGCCAGTTGGAGGTGGAGGTGGTGGAGGCGAGTCACCCACATGCCACTGGCCAAGTTGGCTATTGGCCCACATCCACGGCGGCTACTCTGTTGGTTTACCCGCTCGCCATGTTGGCCGTGATCCAGTCGAGGCCCTCGAGCAGGCCGTCGCCAGAGAGGGCACAGCACGGCTGGATGTGGTATGGATGGGTCTTGATGGACGCCAAGTTGAGCTCGCGCGAGATTTCCGAGACTGAGAGCGCGTCGGCGACGTCCTGCTTGTTGGCAAAGATGAGGATGCACGCCGAGCGCAGCTCTTCCGAGTTGAGTATGCTATACAGCTCCTCGCGATTGAGATGCATACGCTCGCGATCGGTCGAGTCGACCACCAGGATGATGGCCTCTGACGAGGTGTAGTACGATGCCCACGTCTTGCGGAGTGACTCCTGCCCGCCGAGATCCCACATCACAAACTTGATGTTCTTGTAAACCAGCTCCTCCACATTGGAGCCCAGCGTCGGTGCTGTATCGATCGCCTCGTCCAGCACCAGCTTGTACAGTGTCGTCGTTTTGCCGGCGTTGGCGTTGCCGATGATCACGATCTTGTGCTGCTTCGGCCCGCCCTTCAGCCGGTCCCACATCGAGGAGAACAGCATGCCCATGGCGCCCTTGACCCCCCTGCTCTACTCCCTGCAACCTGTCGCCTCTTCCACCGTGGCCAGGTAGATAGGTGCTCAACAGCGAGCTTCCCCGGCCTTCCCCCCCCCCCCCCCCCCCCCACCGTCTCCACCCTCTCTCCCTGCGGAACCTGCGCTCTCCCAAGCCGACAACGTACCCACGACCAGAGAGGCGCCCACCCGCAACGACACAACTATCCCATAGACAACCCAGCTCAACACCGATCGGCATCCCTACCCCCTCCCTCTATCCCCTCCCTCCACTTCCATCCGCCCTAGATGTACCGATCCAGCCCTGTTCCTCCCCATATTGCCAGTCTGCACGTGTCGCGTGTCGTGTGTGGCTGACCGGCGACGGCAATCGCACGCGCCACGCACCCTCCCTCCCTCCCCCCCCCCCGCCACCCCCTCCCCTCCCCGCTTCACCCACCCACCTCTCCCTCCCGTCTAGCATGCGGCTCACCTTTAACTTGGTGTGGCTGGTGGTGGTGGTATGCGCCTGCGCCTGCGCTGCTACCGTGGTGGGGACGCCCAACCCAAGGACGGCGCCGTATGGGCTGGAGGTGACAGCCTTCACGGCTGCAGTCCTCGCCAACAACATGACGCTGACGAGGTCTGAGGGCGCTGCAGGCGATAGGCTGCGGATGACGCCGGATACTCCGCGATGGTCTTCCTCGGCCCGTTGGTCGGCTCCGATGCTGGTCCGTGGCTTTGAGACCTCGCTCACCTTTGAGATGTCCAACGTGGCTGCTGGCGGCGGGCGCGACGGCCTCGCCCTCGTCATTCTCAACTCGCCACAGACAACAGGTACCTACGGCGGCGGCATTGGATACGGCGACCTGGATCCGACCGGCCTTGGCGGCCTGCCCAACTCGTTTGCCATCGAGATGGACACGTTCTCGAACCCGGAGCTCGGCGATCCGTCGTCGGACCACATCTCGGTCCACTCGGCCGGTACTGCGCCCAACTCGGCCGACGAGGCTTCGTCCGCCCGCCTTTGCCCAATCATCACCGGCATAGTTCCCATGGCCAACCCCAGCCCATCCCCGTACACAGTCACCGTCCGCTACGAGCCGCCGTACGGCTGGGACGCCTCGCCAGACGCCACAGCTACCCTCACCGTCTGGGCCGAAGGCATTCAGCCCCCTGTCGGCATCTGCCACCTCCCGCGCAACCACACACTCAACGAGCTGCTCGATCTGGGCGCCGGTGGCACGGCGTCGCTCATGATCACCGGCGCCACAGACGACACTGCCGACGTCCAGGACGTCCTCGCCTGGTCGTATGCCTTTCTCGGCGCAGCCAATGCCAACACCTCGCGTGCTTCAGGCACCGGCCTCGCCGGCGGCTCTGTCGGCGCCAACCTGCCGGTCGCTGTCCAGCTCCATGATCAGTACGGGTATCCGTACCATCGCGACGCTGCCGCCCTCGAGTGCCAGCTCACGCTTCTCGAGCTCGGCGTCTCGTTTCCGTGCACGCCTGGCGCCGACGGCAGCTACTCTGGCAGCTACAGCGCCACCGTTGCTGGAAGCCACAACCTTGACGTGACTCTGGACGGCGTGGCTGTAGTCGGCGCGCCGTTTGCGGTTCAACTCGCTCCGGGTGCGGTTGACGCCACCGCCTCGACTGTCGCTGATGTCGCCGCCACCGTTACTGCCGGCGACGCCTCCTCGTTTTCGGTCACCATCCACGACCAGTACGGCAACGTGGTCGACTCGGACTCGGTTGTCATCACTGCCCACATTCTGCCTGTACAGGATCCGACCCCGTCGTTTACCTTTATCTACACCGGTGACGGCGTCTACACATGTACCATGATCCTGCGGGTGACCGGATCGTCAACGCTCTCGCTCTCCATCGGCGGGGTCGGCGTTCAAGGTGGAGCAGTCTTTGATGTCGCTGTCACGCCGGGGCCTGTCGATCCAGCGAGGACAAAGTTCGCCGGAGCGGCCCAGTTTAACGCTGTCGCCGGCGTTGCATCTGCCTTTTCACTCCAGCTCTACGACGCGTTTGGCAACACGGTGGCGGCCTCGGGCACGACCACCCCCGTTACCGCCTCGTTCACCGCCGGCCCAGCCCCGGTAACTGCTGCAGTCTCGCCCGCAGTCAAGGGCAATGTCACGGTCTCGTACACCGCCACCATCACCGGTACGTACGCGCTCGACGTGACTGTCGGCGACGGTACCGACGCCGCCTCGTTCCCTTCGTCGGTCCTTGTCGTCACTGACAACGTGCCCGATCCGTCCAAGTGTGTCGCTGCCGGTGCCGGCATCAACGCTGCCCATGTTGCCGGCGCTCACGCCGTGTTTACGGTCACACCGCGGGATGCGTATGGTAACCTGGTGTCGCAGGCGAAGACGGCGCTCGCAGTCACTATTAGCTCTGGTGGCGGAGGGGCCACCGTCGATGCCTCCTCCACCTACAACTCGCAGACCGGAAGCTTTGACGTCGCGTACGACGCGACGGTCGCCGGCGACTACACCATCGCCGTCACGGTCAACTCTGCCCCGATTCTTCACTCGCCGTTTGACATGACAGTCGTACCGGCCCGCGCGGACCCGACCGCCTCGCACGTCCGAGCAACGTCATCGTCGGCTCTCTCGTCGACCGTGACCGGCCGGACCGAGTCGTTCCTCGTCCTTGTCGAGGACGCGTTTGGGAACGTGCTCGCCTCGCTCGGCAACAACTCGATTGCGGCGCACATCACCGGCCCGCGGTCGTACGCCGTCAGCTGCGCCGAGGTCCACGACCCGAGCATCGGCGCCGCCGTCTCTTGCTCGTACTCGATTGACAAGACCGGAACATACGAGCTGTGGATCATGGTCGACAACGAGCCGGCGCTCGGCTCGCCCTTCCGTATCTCAGTCTCGTGGGCGCACACCCTCGAGCTCATCATCGGCCTCATCGCCGGTGTTGGCGTACTGGCCATGTGCATTACCGGCTTCTTTGTGGTCCGCTCCCGCTCGCGACGTACCGGATTTGTCCGCCTCTAGCCACGTACCACATTGGGCGCAGCAACGGCGCCCAAGCGCCGCATGGTGTGGTCGACCTGCCGCAGTCGATCGCCAGCCGAGTCGGCCCGCCGGGCGGCTGTCGATCGGCGGCCGATCGTCAACCGTGGCAACGTGTGGCGTCGTACTCTCGTCTCGGCCACCAGCCGGAAATCAAAATGTGTTTGTGTTTGCATTTGTGTTTGCGGTGTGAGCTGGCTGCGGTGTGAGGCTTGCGGCCACCGTCTGCTACAGGACACGGCTTTATTGTACGCTTGATAACACTTGTCGCTGCTGGACAAGACAGGCAGGCGGCCGGGGTTTGACTACGTCTACCCATACCTTTGCGAACCTTCTAGGTTGCCGGGTCGCTATCTGCATTGCCGCGCCAGGGCTCGTTCGAGGCGGTCTGCGGTGGATTAGCAGATTTTTGTGATGTCTTTGTCAGAGCCGCAGCTGCTTTCTCGGCGGGCAACGGGCTGGCTGGCGCTGGTGCCGGCCGGCAACGTCGATGCCAGGCTGGTCAACAAGGTTGCTGATGCATCGGGCGTGTCTATGACTGTGGCTTCAGTTGCCGACGGTTCTGTCCTCGTCACTGCACAGCACCCGACTCGCCATCCGCTCTCGCTGGCCCGGGCCATGGCTGCGGTCATCGCAGCCGTCCCGCGCAAGGCCGTTCTCCGCCTTCAGCTCCCGCTGCCGCCCCAGGCTCCTTTGCCGACACTGCCGTCGGAAGAGCTTCCCGGTACGGTGGTGTATTCCGACTCGAAGCAGCCTGCGCTTGTTGTCGAGGGTTTGCCGGCCGCTGTGGCCGACGTCCTCGCTGCCGTGGGCTCCTCGGTCTTTGGCCTCGACGCTGATGCATTGGCGACTGCGCTTGGCCAGCGTGCCCAGCACACAACATCAGCCTCTCTTATCGAGGTGTCGGCGGCCTCGCCGTCGGCGTCGTCGGTTGTTTTTGACACCCGCGGCGCTGCCTGTGACCGCGTGACCGCGGCGCGGTTGGTGGCGTCATCCGCAGCTGCGCGGATGCTGACCAGCCGCAACTTGCTCGGCGCGAAGAGCTTGGAAGGCGTGGCGCCTGTGGTGCTCCGTTTTGTCTCGCACGGGCCGGTCGTCGAGTTTGCTGTCGAGTCGGCGAGCGGCTCGGTCGCTGTTCTCCGCATGATGCTTGCTCTTGCATCCCAGCTGGCTAATGCCAGTGTGGCGCTTCATCTGCCGACATCTTGGGGACACGAGATGATCGAGGTATGTTTTCTTTTCTTTCCTTTCCCCCATTTTCTTTCCCCTGTCTCTCACCGCTGCCTTGTGGCTATGCGCTCCTTGCCGCAGTCAGGCCGTATCTGTTTGTCGTCCCCATATGATGATTTCACTTTTCAATAACTTTCGTTCTTCTTATTCATCCTTGAGGAGACTTTGTGCTTGTCTGATGGTTACCACGACGCCGACTACTGCTTAATCTTCTCCCTGGATGTCATTGCTTTGCAAGCCACGAGCGACTCACCCTTTTCCCCGTTTGCGTATCATGTACAGGCCCTGGAGGTGCTAGGTGACGGTCAATTATCTAGCCATGGCGACAACGCGGTGCTGGTAGCGTCGGCCGATAGCATCCGGACTGTTCTCTGGGCGCTGCACCACTTGGCGGCGCCTGGGTGTCCGATTGTCTCGGTTGACATGGCAGCGTGGACGCTGCGGATCTCGGCACGTGCCGGAGCCGTGCTGCTGGGGCGACGGGCGGTCATCAAGAAGGCGATCGAGGCTGCGTCTGGTGCCACACTTCACTTTGTCTTTGCGGGCAAATTCGTAGACGTGGCGCTCGCGGGCGAGGCCGACGACGTCCGGGCCACCGCACTGCTGGGCATCCTGAGACGACTGGACCCAGCCGAGCACGCCTGGCTCCAGATTCCCGCGGTGCCGGAAAGCCACGCGGTGTGGACCGACAGTTTCTCCGGTGCTTGTGTGGCAGTTCATGAAGGTGAGCTGTTCTCGGTGGTGGCAAGCGCGCTGGCCTGTTTGGGCGCGGAGGTGCCACCGGTCGAGGTCAGCTCGGACATGGTGCTCACTACACCACGATCGAGCGGCGCGCTGCTCGCTGGCGGGAAGCGGGCCAAGTTCAAGGAGCTTGAGCGCGAGACCGGGGCGCAGCTTGTGCTGCAGATGTCATCGGGCTCGGGACTTGCGCACATCCAAGTCAAGGAGAGCGGAGTGTCGGGCCTGACTGGGCAATGTCAGGCAGTGCGCTCAATGCTGGCCGAACTGAAAGCGACGCGGCCACAAGGCGAACAAGTGGCACTTATGCTACGTCTGCCGCCGTGTGATGGCGCGTCCGAGAAGCTGGCGAGACTCGCCTGGGACAGCGTGCTCCACCATGTTGTGGGCTCGCTAGTCCGAATCAGCGGTGCGCCGGGTGCGGTCCTGGAGGCGTTTTTTGAGCTTGTTGCGATATTTGGCAAGGCCGAGACGCTGGCAGGGCTAGCGCAGCACACACTCGCGCTCCCGATCTCGCGCAGTCTTACCTCGGGCCTTCACAGTGAGATGAGTCTCCGCAAGGTGGCTCTGCCTGAGCTCGGATCAAATATGGTGTTTAATGTGGTTCGGACCGGCAGCTCTTGGCAGCTGAGGTTGCCTGCCGGCGTGCCGGCGGTGGCCGCGCTGGACTTTTTCGTTAAGGTGCTTGTCAGCTTGACGCGCCTGTGCGCCAAGCCGCGACGAGGCAAGGCGGTGCGCATGGAGATTGCTCTTTCGCGTGACGACGCCTTGAGAGGTGGTATGGTGAGGCTGGTAAGAGGTAAGGCGACGCGAGGGGTGGTGGAGATGTCTTCGTTATCACTTCCGCGCTTGGTGGTCACCGGCGAGATGCCGGTTGTACTTCGCGTTGCAGCCGAGAAGGTTGCTGTGGCGCTTGGCGGAGTGGTGTGCGGGCAGTTGCCAGTTGCCGCTGTGTTGTCTATCGGCTCGGCCCAGCTGCTCGGGCGAATGGTGGGCAAGGATCAGAAGAGCATGATTGCAGAGATCAAGGCTCAGTACTCCGACAGCAGGCTTAATCTTGCGCGCATTTCTTCGACTCAGTTTGGGGTTTCGGCCAACTCGCCGGTGGTGCTGGCACAGGCTCTACAGGCGCTGCTTGCGCGGGCTACTCGAGACACGCCGGTGGTTGTAGAGGCCGACTTCGTCGACAGCTGGCTTCCCGGCGCCAGCGGCGCAGAGCTGATGGCCGCGGCCCGACGCGGGTTTGTGGACTCATGTCTCGACGCGGTGCTTGACAAGGGCGCGCTGCCATGTGTGGTACTTGACGGCTCATCACGTGATGCGGAGCGAGCGCTGCTTGCACTTGCGGGACTTGCGCTGGTCCACCGTGGTGAAGGCGTTGTGTACCGGACTCTGCTCCTCCCGAGCTCCCTTGTTCGTGTGCGTGTGAGTGTGCCTGATGGTGTGCGCAGTGCACTGATTGCGATGCGTCATCCAAAGGTAACGCAGTGGACGAAAAGTCGCAAGATCTGGATGCTCGGCGCGTTGCGTGACGTCTTGTTTGCGCTGGGCGAGGTTGCTCAGATTGTGCGACGTGAGCTGGCCGAGGTGGAGGTGCTCATGGAGCGAGTGCTTCCACAGCTTTCTGGGGAGCCACAGGCCGAGTGGACGTTTGAATCGATTGGCAAGCTCGCGGCGTGTCTGACCCAGCACTGCGGCGTTGAGCTTGATAGCGCGGTGGAGATGGCTGAGGCGCCGAGCTTGGCGCATGAGAGCAAGGCGTGGTGGACGATCGAGGTGCCGGCAAAGGCTGCGCATGAGGTACTTGCGCGTCGCAAGCGGCTGCAGGCTTTGGTCACCGGCGTGACCGAATTGGCGCTACAGGTTCCGCGTACAGGAAGTGGCAAGGTATGTTGGAGAGTGTGTGAGCATCGTCGCGAGAGAGTGCTGGGGCTGTTTGCAACGAGATGATGACCCAAATCATCAGGACATCTAAGTCTTACAAACCGATGGGGACGAAAACGATTATCTGTCAATCCACTGATCGTTGCCATCGTGTTGAAGTTGCTGCGGCGTGAGGGGGCGAATACTCACATTCATGCGGGAGCTGTTCATGAGTATTAGGACAAGGCTGAAGGTGTCGGCGGCAAGGTATGTGTTTACGAGGTGCGGGAGGTGTGAGAGCTGGCACGAGCTGATGCGTCGTGTGCATGAGATGATGTTTTTTACTGAAATAGGAAGAGTCTGACCAATCTTTGGAGATAATCTTTCAGCCTGATCATGTCCCCATGAATGGTACGAGAGCGAGAGTGAAGAGGTGGCGCGAGACTCACGTGGTTGCTGGTGTGGCAACGGACGAGCAGACGGCTCGGCTGATTCTCCATCCCGGGCCTGGTGCGAGTTCGGCGGTGTGTGGGCCCGATATGTATCTTGCGGGAGCTGGGCTTGTGCTGAATGCACTGCCGCGCCAAGCGTGTGGGAATGTGCGTCTTGTCGCAGGCCAGCTCGGGAGCTGGGCCGGCAGCGTGACTGAGGTCATTACTAGTGCCTGCACGGCGCTGGGGCTGAGCTCTGCCAACGTGATGACCACTCTTGGTTGCGGGTCGAGGTCGCCCGAGGGACGGCTGCGGCTTCCAGCGTCGCTGACGGGCATCTTGCTGGGCAAGAAGGGCCGGCATTTGAAAGAGGTGAAGAGCACGACTGGGGCGAATATTTATGTCACCTCGCAGGCGCTGTTTGCTGTGGTGACAGCATCGGGCGCTTCCGTGCCTGTTGTGGTCATGGCACTCGCGCGCATGGTCGGGCAGGTGGCAGGGGTGAAGCCCGACACGCGGGCTGTCGTTGACTTTTGTGCTGGTGATGTCGAAGCTGCGCTGGATGCTGCACTGGCGTGCGAGATTGCGGCGCGTGTCGACGGCAAGCGGCTTGTGTGCTGCGGGCGAGCGGCAGACGTTGTGGTTGCACTGGCGGGTGTGGCGGGCGCGGAAGGCGGGCCTGAGGTTGCTGCCGCCGCCGCTGGAGCGGTGCCTGCTTCTGTGGCGCGGGAGCGGGCGGGCAAGGCGTGTGGTCCGGTGGTGTGTCGTGTGAGCGTGGTTCGGCGCAAGGGCGTGGCCAAGAAGGTTGCTGCTGCGGCGAGGGCTGCCAGCCGCGAGAATGAGAGCTTTGTGAGTGTGGCCGAGCACGGGGAGTTTGTGGAAGCGTCTGTCCGCGGGCAGAGCGTTGCGCTTGCTGCTGAAGCTGCATTTGCTGTTCTGTCTGTTGCGGACGCGTCGGAGCGAGTGCGCCTCTCGTTGGAGCGCGCCGGGCTGGCGGAGTTGAATGTGTCACCCGACGTCCCGCTCTTCCCTGATGACCACCGCGAGGCCGGCGTGCTCGAGGCTGGTGAAGACACGCTGGTTCTCTCAGGGCGCATTGCGCGGGTCCGGCGAGTGTTTGGTCTCATGTTTGAGCGTGTGCTTGGACGGGCAACAGCTACTGAGCTTGCTGCAGGGCCTGCGCGCGGACTAGACAGCCAGCTGAAGAACAAGTGGGTGGTGCAGGCTGGTGCGGACGCACGGGATCGTGTGCGGATCGGAATCCGGCCGCAGGCTGCGGCTTCGAGCAGCTCTGTGCTGAGCAACGGCGTACGGTGGCTGATTGGGCCGCAAACCCCTGCCCCTGTCCTCTTTTCTGTGCTCTGCGAGGCATTGCCTGCAGATCGTGTTGCTGTGCAAGTGCCTGTACGGGCTGGCGTCGATAGGGCCAAGCTGGCTGCGGCGTGCGCCAAGCTTGGCGACGACGTGAGTGCACAAGTTGTGGAGCTGGGGCAGGCGGTTGTAGTGACTGGGCTTGGCCTCGCGGTCTTTGACGGGGTGTCGAAACTCTGCCGGCGTGTTATCGGACCCAAGGCTGCGTTCAAGCGCATCGGTGCGAAGCGAAGGGCACTGGACTCGGCGTGGCGCGTGACGATTGCGTCCGCACTTGGTGGCTTTGTTGTTGGTAAGAAGGGCAAGCACCTTGCTGCGCTCCGGGCTGCCAACGGCGGTTCTGGCGTGGTGCTCTATTCACTGTCACCGAATGAGCTTTGCCTCTGTATTGTGCCTGCCTCGCTTGACCATGGCGACCGTGTTGTGGCGCTGCTCAAGTCGTTTATGCCCAAGGGCACCGAGGTGGAGGTGAAGAAGCCCGAGGTCGAGGTTGAGGCTGAGGCTGAGGTTGAGGTTGAGACCGAGGCTGATGTTGAGGCTGAGGCCGAGGTTGAGGCTGATGTTGAGACCGAGCTTGAAGCTGCCGAGCCTGAGACTGAGACTGAGGCTGAGGTCGAGGCTGCTGTTGAGGCTGAGGCTGAGACTGAGGCTGATGTTGAGGTTGAGGCTGATGTTGAGGTTGCTGTTGAGGCTGACGAGGCTGATGTTGAGACCGAGCTTGAAGCTGCCGAGCCTGAGACTGAGACTGAGGCTGAGGCTGAGGCAGAGGCTGAGGTTGAGGCTGAGGTTGAGGCTGAGGCTGATGTTGAGGTTGAGACCGAGGCTGATGTTGAGGCTGAGGCCGAGGTTGAGGCTGATGTTGAGACCGAGCTTGAAGCTGCCGAGCCTGAGATTGAGACTGAGGCTGAGGTCGAGGCTGCTGTTGAGGCTGAGACTGAGACTGAGGCTGATGTTGAGGTTGAGGCTGATGTTGAGGTTGAGGCTGATGTTGAGGTTGATGTTGAGGCTGACGGGGCTGATGTTGAGACCGAGCTTGAAGCTGCCGAGCCTGAGCCTGAGACTGAAGCTGAGGTCGAGGCCGAGGTTGAGGCCGAGGTTGAAGCTTTCGAAGTTGAAGCTGTCGAGGCCGAGACCGAGTCTCAAGATCCCCCCGCAACCCCCGAGCTCACGTTGGAGCAATACCTCGCACCCTTACCACCGTCTCCGGTCGATTTTGCATCTCTAGTGGACGCGCTCGACATCCCCGCCGACGTCGCAACAAGCCTCGTCTTTACCGCGGCGCAGCAGGCATCCGCCGCCGCTCCTGAGCAGGCACTGCACGCGCTCACCTGGGCACAGTCGCTCATCACGGCATTGTCAACGTAAAAAGACTCGCGCATCCCTTTTCATTACGCTCTCCCTGTTCTGCCCGTCCCTGCAGCACTACGCCTGGCACTCGTCATCGTCGTCATCGGAGCCGTTGACGGTTTTGACAACGTCGGCCTCGTTGGCCGACTCGCTCGAGCGCACATATGTGTAGAGCAGTGAGCCGACGAGGACAAGGACGACCGAGAGAACGGCACCGGAGGACATGATTGTGCCGTAGAAATAAACACCGAGAACGGTCTGGATAGAGTTCTTGAGGACTCCGACAAGGCAAAAGGTCAGCGGTGAGGTGTGCTTGATGACCATGACAATGACAATGCCGATGGCAAAGCCGAGGACGCCCGAGGCGAGCATGATGACCCAGTAATGCGGCGAGGACAGAATGTGTGTGTGACTGCGGAGGGTGTCAACCTCGCCAAAGATGATCATGAGCGGGATGAAGAGGAGCGAGGCATTGACGTTGTTATACAACGAGAGCACCCACTTGTCCTCACCAACCAGCGGAAGCACCTTCTTAGTCATGATCGAGTTGAGCGGCGACATGGCCGACGAGAGGACGCCAAACAGAGTGCCCATCATGTCGAGCTGGACGTCGCCAGTTGTGCCGACAAGGAAGCCCATGACAACAACGCCAAGCGTGGCAAGAACCCGCCACGAGACGACCGAGCCAAGGACGTAGTACCCGAGCACCACGTTAAAGACGACAGAGAGCGCCTTGGCGACGTTGTAGAACGAGACGGGGATGTTCATCAGCGTCACGTTGTTGGCAGCGATCATGACGACAAAGACGACCGAGAGCGGGGCGACGGCCTGGAGGGTGGCTGAATCAACCCGCGGGGAAGGAAACTGGGCCAGGAACGGGAGGTCCGGACGTGCCTCCTTGGCCATGCCCAGCGCCCACAAAATGGCCACCGTCTCCACGCACTGGACCCAGGTGACAAACAGTGGCGCCGGAATGGAGTACTCCGCCGACGACATGAGGACCTTGTTGGCAAAGATGAGCGTGATAGAGACAGCCCAGTACATGCAAATGGCCCCAGCCGTGGCACGCACAGCTCCCCCCACTACCATTCTCCTCTGTACGTCTTCCTTCTTGCTCCGTACCTCTTTCGGCGCGGCTCCACGCGGTGAGGTGGCACCCCTCCCCTTGGATTCGTCCCTCGATGGGGATCCCTTCGAGCCCCCCCACCGTCCTCTGCTATTCCGCCGTCGCGCCGCCCAGCCACCGACCCGCCAACCACCCGATCACCCCCCCCCCACCTCTAGTCCCACGTCGATTTCGGGCGTTACCTACCTGCAGGCAAGTCTTGCCAGCAACGCGGACTCGGCCTCATTATTTGAGCTGTATTGCACGTGCGAACTCCGCGGTGCGAAAGAGACGAAGGAGGCTGCGGCGGGCGGGCAAGCGACCAAGAACTGAGGGACGAGTAAGTTCGACGCCG